TGACTTGGCTGCTACATGATGATACCTGCAGTGACTGAGCACGCTGTAGTTGGTCCATGGTGTGTATGTGATGTGCTGCAGTGTTTCAAGACGGGACTGATGGCAGCTGAGATGAACTTGAAACTTGTATTTTTAATTTTTTATTAGAGGGTCCTATCCCTCAGTTATCTATAGGAGAATCTGATGTATCAGTCATTTCAGTGTGCATCTTAGCCTCTAAATTGGAGCCTTAATGTGCCTGTACCTGCTGTTTGACAGCACCAAACGTTTCCCTGGCTACGACTCGGAAAGCAAAGAGTTCAACGCTGAGGTTCACCGCAAGCACATCATGGGCCAGAACGTGGCCGATTACATGCGGTACCTGATGGAGGAGGATGAAGATGCCTATAAGAAACAGTTCTCCCAGTACATAAAGAACAATGTAACACCTGATGGGGTAAGCTTTATGCTGCTCGAGCTTCGGCATTCATGGAGATGCTGATAAGTCTTGCATAGCCACTGCTGTAATAACGCAAAGAAATCTGATATGTAAAATGATGTGACTCATGTTGTATGTTACCCATGCAAAGAAAGCAGTTTTTTCCTTTATTAAGGGCTCTGTAATATACTCTAGGACTCCTGAAAGTGGACTTTTTTGCCTGCTGTGAAATTTAGTATTCTGCCTATAAATCCAGGCTTACAGGACCTAAATCTGTGCTGTACCACTTCCTCCCCTTCCCAATAGAGAGACTAAAGTAGAAGTTTCTGTACAGACTCTCTACTCTTTCCTAGTCCTCCCCACAGCCTGTCATTTCTGCAGCTTTAGTGCTTGTAACTGAGAGTGAGCATGTAGTTGTGGGTCAAATCTGTGGTGCTGTTTGTGTGACCCTAGAAGGTAGTTCTGCCATTCGAAGTGATTAGAGAGAGCCCAAAGTAGCATTTCATGAAGGTCTAGACTGTAATACACTTTATTTTAGTACTGCTTCACATTTTGGTTTCCAAAATGCTAGAAGATAGGTAAGAATACAGAGGTGCTGCTTCTACTTTTTCCAAGTATTAAAGTCCTTCCAGATGGCTTGTGTTGCTGCCTGTAGTATTCTTGCTTGATTCTCCTAGTAAGTGATCTTGGAGCTTTAAAACATAGCTCCCTCATATCCCCTTTTTAGGCTACAGCAAACTTCATTCTCTATCCCTTCATTTCAGTGGGGTTTGGGGTTTTTTATAAATTTAATTAGTTGCTAGTTTTTTCTAATGAATTCTAAAAATAGAGTAATGTAAATGCCAACTTCATCTGCTTTCTAAGCAAACAACAGTTATAGCTTGTATTCAAATGAAGTGAGTCTAGGACTTAGGTCAGTGGATAGACACTAGCTCTTTGTACATCTAAAAAGTTTTTCACAGCTGAGATATCTTAGTGGTCTTAAATAACCACCAGCAAAAGTCTTCTTAAATTGTGCCATTTTGGAGCCAGAGTTCCTTTGAAACAGAGCAGCATTATTGTATGTTTGGGGTCAATGCAGGCCCAGGAATCTTGGATTTCTGATAATCTTAAAACTGGACCACTATGGTAAATTTAATTTTTTTTTTCCCAAGATGGAAGAAATGTATAAAAGAGCCCATGCTGCTATACGGGATAATCCAGTCCATGAAAAGAAACCTAAGAGGGAAGTCAAGAAGAAGAGGTAAATTTCTCATTCTTTTTTACATCTGTGTGACTTCTCTGTTGGCGATATCTTATTTACAGTAAAACAAGTAATGCAGTTTTGCAGTTGTGTCACCAGTCACGTGTTCTGGACCAGATTAAGATACAAGCAGTTCTGTATAACTTTGCAGTTAACTCTAGCAGTAAGAATATGAAATTCAAGAGCTCTTAACTATTTAAAAAATCAAAGTGAAGAATGCTTGTGGTTTGAGTAGCTGGAACAGTATGTATCTTCAGGTCCCAGGGTTTTCAGTGAGAAAACTACTTCAGCTGAGAGCTCATTGACTATTTTGTCAGAACCAAACTATTTTGATTTTTAAGGATGTGGGAGAAAAGAAAACAAGACACAGCTTTTGCATTGGGCTTGATAATGTAACGCCTATAGTTCAGTCACACAGAGTTTCACTCCAGAGAAATTAAAACTGTTCAGCCATGCTTTTTGTGGTGCCCTAACTACAGCCTTAAATCATTATGAGGAAATAATAAAACATGTTACAGAAGTGGGAATATATTCACCACTGCACTTTTAATCACAGTTGTGATGAACTGCTACTTTTTTGTTTTGGACCTACTGCACACTGTGTTTCCATTGCAGATGGAACTGTCCCAAGATGTCCCTCGCCCAGAAGAAAGATCGTGTTGCTCAGAAGAAGGCCAGCTTCCTCAGGGCCCAGGAACGCAGAACTGAGAGTTAAGACAACTTCCACAGTTTTCTGTGAAAGTTCTGAAAATGTGGCAATAAATTTATTGAGGAAGCGACTGTGTAAGACCAGCTTATTTATATATTTTATAAAAATAGAGAATATTTTTTATTATCTAAACGTTCTGTACCTGAAAGGGTTTTTTTCTCCCCTCTCAAAGTACTGTGAATTGAGTTTTCAGAGAAGAGAGGTGACAGACTTCAAAGACCAAGGCTGCTGCATCAGAATTACTTCCATAAGAAGGAGAAGGAAGTTAATTCGATAAATTTTTGGCATGGTTAGTATCAAGGACTAAGTATACGAGCTTGCTGCTTCTAACTAGAGAAAGATGTAATTTTTTTTTTAAAGGCTGTACCTGTCCTTCACAATTCTTTCAGCATACTTCATGTTTGGGGGTGGGATGTCTGGATGATAGAAAAAGAAGGTTTTTTCCTAAAAAACAGTAGAACAGTAGGTTCTAAAGCCTCTGCCCAAAGGTAATTGAAGGCTTTCAGGCATTTCTCACCTCCAAGCTTTGGCTGCTACTGAAACAGGTACTGTCTTGAGCTGAATACTTCACGTGATTTAGTTGAGTTGCATGTATGGGATAGGTACAGAGGCCGTGTTAAGGAAACTTGAATGAGACTCCCTGGCAGTTACACACCAGAGCCTTTCCCCTTGACTCCCCACACATTCACCACACACGTTCCCTTCCAGTTCACCCCTACGGTTCCCTTAGCAGAACCCACAACATCCCATTCCACAAGGCAGTTTATTCCTGCAGGAATAAACTGGAGATGCAGGAACAACTGGAGATGGTCCCTCTGAGGAGGCCCCCTGGGTTTTTATACCCTCACACTCCCCTCCTTCCCCTGATGGCAGTCTCCACCTCCTCAGTCCCACCTCCCATCTCCGTGTCCATTTACCTCAGCCATCACCAGCTTTCATCTCCTTATCCTGAACGGTGGCTCCCACCCAGAGCCCAGTCTGTGTTTCCCTCTGCAGCCTGCAGGCTGAGCCGCCTGGAAGTGAAGTATTCCTCACCAGCCTTGTCCTGCCCTGGTCCTGTGCCTCCTCCCTCAGTTTCATGGCCACTTCTGTGTGCCACTAGGTTTCTCATTAGACTCAGAGAAACTGTTTGCACAGTTTAAACACCAGTCAATTTGGCTACATGGAGGAATGTTTTGCTCTAATACTGGTAGTTGGTGTAAATACTGCTATTGAAAAAAAAGAGACCTGTGATTTACTGTAAACAAAAGTGTATTTTTTTTCCAATGAAAGCTTCAACTTGATGCAACAGTAATAAAAATGAAGAATTTGTACAACAAACTGCACTATTAAACAATTTCCAGTTGTTAAGATACCCAATGTCATTGGGTATTTTAAGTAATCTCTGCCCAAGTATCAGTCACTGTCAGATTTTTTTACCAAGAACATGACCACTTTACACTTTCAGTGCATTGCTGGTTACAAATACTTACTAGTTCATAGTTGGAGCATATTAGCAAGTTCAAGACAATAATTAGCATAAGCATAGTATTTCTTAAACTAAAAGGCTGATGTTCACAAAACAATCTTAACCCAAGCTGCATATTATTACGTCTGGTATGGAGAAATTACTTTCTTGAGGTTCTGTACTTCAGTGTTATCATTCGAGGAATGATTTAAGACAGGATACCTAGAGCAGTTAAAGCTTGTTCTTACCTCTGCTGAACATGAATTAAGGGGCCAGGATTCAGCAGTATACAGATGACTGCCATTAAAATCATAAAGACTGAACAAATTTATACCTAAAGCATTTATAAATTAAATATTCAACAGGTAAGTATTGAACATGTATTCAGGTGTATTATGAACATCCAATTCTGCATAATTATGAACACAGGTGTAAATCTGAAAAATAGAAGGGTGCAGATGAGAGGTGGTAGAGTGGTCATGCTTTGTGGAGTGCCAGGATCAGGCGCTGTTTATTTACTCTTGACTTAACAGTGACTCATAGATGCTACTAGAAAAAAAAGAATAGTAACAGACTGAAGCTCACTTAGTAACAGCTGGGAATGAGCTGGAAAATATCTCAGGCTCCCATTTGAGCAATATTGCACAATCCTGAACAATCCAGCTTGTGTCTTAAAATTCAGGTCTAGCTCTTGCTTACATATTTCTTGCAGTAAAGAAAATTGAAGTACAGGTCTGTAGCTAAATGTGGAAGGACAGTAAAGAGGCAAGACTATCCTCAATTAATTGTTTCTCCTGTCATACAGCAGATTCTTACACTATGCAAACTTCCTTTTTTAACTGGTTGGACACATCTGCTATTCAGTAGTTTTAAAAATTACCTTCAATTTTCATACTATAGCTTAGTTCACAAACTTGCTTTTCACTATTTGCTACAGCTTAACTTGGGTTAAAGGTTTCCACTGAAGTTTTTGAAACAGATGCTGGTATTGCTGCTAAACCATACAGATGACTAAGAAATAATATTCTAAAATTCTTGGCTGCCACAAGGCTCACCATACAATGACTTAATTAAAAATGTTGAACTACTTAAACATTCAAGACGTAAGCATGAGGTAACAATGTGTAAACAGAATCTGATTTGTCTCATATTACAACCTATCCATTCTAGAATAAAATTCTAATTTTCCACAGTTAAAAAATTATTTTATGTGCAAATTCTGCCATGCCAAGGTATTAGTAAACTTCAATCTCACAGTTCAGTTTATTCATAACAGCAGCTTGGACTTGGACACATTACTTGCAGTAGTGGTGATTCTTCATAAAACTGCTTAGGAAAAAAATCCTCTGCAGGTATTTCACAAGCGAGCAGTGTTTTTCACAGAAATGGAAGATGTTCCCTCAGCTGATGTGGTGGCACAGTGAACACTTTCATCCTGTTCAAGATCTGACAAAGTGCACAAAACAGTCAGGCATGCAGAGTTCTTGTTTCCATAACACAGCACTGAACAGCAGAAAGAGTTCTGGCCTCTGCCTCATCCTTCAGTGGCATGTTCATTCTTTGAGAAGCCCTGTCATGAGTTACTGACTGAAGGGCAGGACTGAAAGAACCATTAATAAAATCTGAGTAAAGAAATATCTTTTTTTAAAAGGTGCAGATTGTTTTTATCAAATGTCTTAGGCCACCTCTAGTGGCAGGCATCAATATTCTCTTCTGCTGGTGGAGAAGCTACGAATCATTTGTATGAGAAATTTTTTTCCACAGTAAAGTTTTTAAGTTATTGAGTATTAAAGAATGCTCCATTTCCATCTGATTTGCTGTGACTTTCAGGGCAATGCACAAGTACAGTTGTTTCTCTAGTTCTTCATGGATATCAGAAGGAGCACCACGAAGCAGATAGTCTTTAAGGAGCTGACAAGCTTTTGCTAAGTTTGGCTGAATTACTTCAGTGGTACATCTCATTTTGCTTTGGTCACATAGTGTTCTACAGTCTGTACCATAAATGCAGTCCAAATCTGAGTCACATTGACGATCTTTGATTATTTCCTTCAAATTAATTTCTGGCACTATTTTTCTCATGTCTATCATCTTCAAATCATATTTATCATTATATCCCAAGTTTTTGGCACTTGTATCACACATAAGAAAGTTTCCATAAGGTCCGTGGAAAATATCTTCCACAAATTCTAAAAGCCCTATAGCTATTTTTGCCTTTCTTGGCCATGATGGAGTGAACCACTGGTCCATGCTTCTTCTGAAGCCAGAGGGAATGAGCAGTTCTATAATCCATGGAAGGCTGATTCCATAGAGAGAGGTATATTCAACTCTTTCAGTCACATAGAGATTCCCACAAAAGCCAATCAGCTTGGGAGTATGCTCTTTATCCTGCAAGATCACCATTAACAGAAACTCTTCTAGCTGCAGGAGTGCCCATGCAGATTTTGCCTCTGGCAAAGAGACTCTTCCATCTTTGTTTCCATCAGCGAAAGACAGGATGAGATTAACCAGTTCTGAAAGATTTCCTTGTTCACCCAGTTTTGCCTAAAAGCAACAAACGAAAAAGATTAGGTATTATTAGGTATTATTATTAGGTATCATTAACTACCCCCAATCCATCTGTCACTCCACCTCCTGTTACTCTCCTTATACACGGATAACTGGCTATGTTCTGGTTTTCATTGGTTATGGATGTAACAGGACCTGCCATCAGCTGCCTGCAGAGCTCCCTTTTTGTTCTGTTTTCATAGGCACCGAACATACAATCCTCTGAAAGTACTGCCTTTCTTTACACTTCAAAATGCAAATATTAAAATTCAATCGTTGTTCTTGTTTGGATCAGTCTTTAGAAAAATTTTATCAAGTAGCTTGTTCAATATTCTCTAAGAAAAAGTGTGCAGAATTCAAAAGTTTAGATCAGGTTTAGTTTTCAGCTGATTAGGAATCAGGAATTAGGAATAATATTATCAACTACATTTTGTCAAATTATTAAGGGTACCAAGACAAAACTGACTACAAACCCCATAATTACACTGAAATGCTTAATTTTGTTATTTGATGTAACCACCTCCATTGTAGGACTACAGAGTAAGAAGCCATTGCTGGAATAACTGTTCCATTTTCAACTAGGCAGATCAACTTTTTTCAAAGGTTCCTAAAAACTACCCCAATGCACCTGCTGCTCACCATTGTTAGAGACAAAGCTGCTGTAATGCATAACAACTGACATCAGCCTGACATCATATTTTCTATACCAATACTAGCAAAATCTATAGACATACAAGATGAATGCCAGCTTCCATCATTTAAAGAGTAAGGGAAAAACCCTGATAATTAGTTACTTCAAGATAAGCACCTCTAGGAGGAACTATTTTTGTGCTGATTATTTTTCTAGCATACCCTTGAACAAGGCTCATACAACAGGGTAGTCGCTCCAGCTTCAAGAAAACAAGCCTTTCTGTCAAAATAGAATAAATAAGAATATACTTACTTTAAAAAGGCCATATACCATTTCTTTGAATTTCTCAACAGTGGTTCCTCTTGTTGGTTTATCAAATAGGACTATTTCCTTCCTTGGTTCTGGGTCAGTACCAAAATCAAGTTGTGCAGCTTCTTCCATCTGGCATTTTATGACACTTTGCAGATTTCCCCAGATTCCTAAATAGATCTATGCAGGAAAAAAAGGGAAAAGGTATAAAACACTGTACAAGTCCATCTGAGGACCACCTGTCCTCCAACCACTGCTTCAAGAGTCAAATGGCAACACAGATCAGAAACTGAGTCCTATGTGCAGACAATGAATGTGGCAATTTGAAAAATGGTAGCTCCAAAGACAACCCACTGCTGCAGGTACTTCAGAGACACTGTACTGTCAAAAACCAGACAGCTTCCCAAACAACAGATTGGCATCACTGCCACCTTTGCATAGTTTCTTATGAAGCTGCTGCTTCTACTGGGGATGCAGGACAGCAGAGAAGCAGTATGATGTACAAAGTATGCACATTTTGGCAAACTGTGGAAGGAAGGATTCAGCATACATATGCTGCCAAAATACATGTAGTATAAAATAACCATATAGCCCTCTACAAACAGGACTCATTTATATTACAGTATATAGGTTCATATTATATATATGAATTTGTATTACAGTGTATCTTCTCTGTGTGTATATATCTGTGTATGTATGGATGGATGAGTAAAGCTTTACCTGGTTATTGGGCTTTGTTGACAAACATTTTCCAAAATACAAGGTTTCTTTAGCACAAAGACTGCTACATGCTGACCCATCAATAACACCAGTCTTGTATTTATCACACTGAAACAAACAGGGAGAAAAATATTTAACAAATTGCCTAAGAAAGGAGGCAACAACTGTATCTCTTCCAACACCTGAGTCTTGATAGAAAAACCTAAGAAAAAATTGTAATAACCCTATGCCAAAATAAGATTGAGACACAATTGGTTTTATCTGTAACTGAAGTTGTAATCTTACTGCAGCATGATGGAATATGAGAATTTGATTAAATCACATGTGGCACTGACTGAATTAGTCAAACACTTCAGAAAGCTATAATAGTAATAATAGTAATGATAGTAAATGCACTTACTATTATTTTCCTACAGTCATGTCCTCTGCACAATTCTGTGTAGGTGGAGTACTGGACATACATAATCCAGCTGCCAATAAACACTACTAACCAGGAGATGAAGAGATACTTGATCCGCACGTATGACAGACGGACCTAGAGCACGCGGAGACAAAATATTGTTTGTAATTCACTGAGCAGCAGTAAACATCATTTACTGTTTCATCTTTAAGGAATTTGACTTCCACTGTGATAAAATAAGCAGATGCATTATATGGAACATTTGCTTCCTTCAGTGAGCAAAACTGACAGCGGAGGTCCATTTGACTTATGAAAGTGGAAGGAAAATTGAGATGTAAGTAAATAGAAGAAAAGGAGTCAGACCCTCACAGAGCAAGCCAGACTGCAGGAACCAATTTGATCAAAATCATAAACTCCCAGAGCTCAAGTGAGTGCACATTTCTCTAATATCAGTTACCTATGTTCCACTCATGGAAAATCAAATCCAACAGACTAGGAATTTGGTAAAAAAATAATCTGTAGTAATGTCTAAATATGTAAGATAGAGATACAGTGAGCAGGGTGGATATCAGGGTCAGGTTCCATGTGCTGAAGTCTCCCACTCCTTCCTTGAAATACACCATTAATTATACAAATAAAATTCTTCTGTACTAGCCTCACCTTCACCTTCCCACAACTATATGCACAACTTTCCTGTTGTTTCTGTGGCCTCACAAATAGAGTTTTCACAGGGCAGAAGGAAAAACTATTTATAAATTAAGAACTGAGGGAGAGCTAAGAGTCTTACAAAGATGGAGGGATGTTTTGATATTTTCCTTTTTTTTTTTCTCCTCAGAGTCTGGTATGCTAACAGGTTGATTTTCATATATCAGGATCAGAAACTAATTAGAAGATGAGGATCAGCTTTAGCAGCAGGATATAAGGAAAATGCACGAGGGCAGCTATATTTGGTCAGTATAAGATACATTTCTATCAGTATCCTGATCTTCAGCAATAGCTATAAAAAGATGCCATCAAAGACTGATAGCATATATTATATATACCAAGTGTTTTCCTAGCTTCCTCTAGAAGAACTTGCTAAATCAGATGTGATACTCTGTATTTCGTAAATCTCAAATCATTCATCTTTCACCAATTTACCCAGATTCCCTTAAAAATCGACATAAGCTTTTAGCATTCACAACAAACTTCAGCAATTAATTCACTAGGTCTACTAGTCCTATTAATTAATTAGGTCTACTGTCCACTACCAAGGTCAGGGACTGAACTTTATTTTGCTGAAGTCTGATTCATAATAGCTTTGTTTGAGACCCCCTAGTTCATGTATTGGGAGAAAAGAATGAACCATCACAGTCTACTCTGTCCCCATCTGACATGACTTTGTAGGCCTCCATAACACACCCCCCTGTGATGTCATCTCTTTTCCAAATTGACAGGTCCTAACTTGACTGTTCATCATAGAGAAATTATTCCATGTCTGGAAAAGGTTCCAAGAAAGGTAGTAATGATGAGCAGTTTTGCCATCATATACATACACAGAACTGCAGCAGATGCAAATAAGCAATTTTTTTAAATAAGAAAGACTGCAGTAATTCATTAGTATTTATTAAAATATAACAAACAACCAGCATGCATTGTACCCTTTCTCTTGGAAACAAAATATCCAGCAAAAGTCAGTTTCAAAAGACCCAAAGGTGATTCCAATCCATGAAGCTGTGGTCCTGCCACATGCCTCAGCTGTGCATCCCTATTCCTTCACGTCTTCACACACTCACTTGACAATCTTAAAACTACCTGGTTAAAAAAAGAGAGCTAAAATTAAGGTTTTATTTCAGTGATTTTTTTTTTTAGAGACAGGTTTTATGATTTTGGGGTTTTTTAAAGCTATTTCAAATTACCCTGTTATGTAGCAGAACATGAAGCACAGAAAACTACTGGTAAAATCTGGGGAAGATCAACAGAAATAAAACTGACAATTTTAGGGAGAGCTGTTTCATGTATAAAAACTGCTTGGGAACCAAAGCTTCTGGGACAACAAACCTTGTTCATTCCTCAGTGTTTCTTGCTGAATCCTGCCATGAACCTTTATAATACACTTTAAACCAAAGTGCTGTTTAATTAAATGTATTATGTTATACATTTAGTACAATCTCAGAGACCAGCAGGGGCCTGCAGGCCTCAGGCCAACTGCAGAATATTGACTATTCTCCCAGTACAGATACTGTATATCCTATCCTCCTCCTTAGGCAAACAGAAAATGTACTTGAGACCAAAAATCCTCCCCAAATGCCATCTGACTACATCATGTGTTTGGCAGGAAGTTCCAGAGAAGCTGGATTTATTTTGAGCTCAGCACTGTGCCAATGGAGTCGTGCAGCTTTTGACTTGCAAAGGCTGCCCAGCCAGTTCAGAGCAGAGACAGCAGCATCCCTCTGCTTACAGACAACCAAGGGTCCCCTCTCTGCTTCAAACAGAATTACTTTTCTAATAAGGACTTCCTCATCCTGTTCAGCAAAAGGCACGACCATTATGTGATTTCTTCCCATATATTCCCCTACCAAATTTTCATTTTCTCCCCAGAATGGGTCTGTGAGCATAGACACACTTATCTCACCTCACCTGGTACATGCACACACTGCCCTGATGCGGGGACAGGGCTTTCCTGAGCTGCTTTGGTCACACAGGTGATGCACCCTGAACACAAGGACTTACACCTGCTCATTTCTGAGGAAGAAGTCCCAGACAGCATGTAGGGAACAACACATATAGATGGACTCTGTTTGAAACTGTGACAAACTGCCAGGAAACTTGTCATAAGAACATTTTTAGGGCAACAGAATGACTGAGAGTTCCAAAATTATCAAAAAAAGGAAGAAAACGTTCAAAACAAGGAAATGGTTTCTTTTTTAACTCTACTGTTCCATCAAGACTTAAATATGAGCCAGGGAATGCAAGAATGAGGGAAGCACTTGCAATGCTTGATGTTACAGATTCAACTTCTTCCATCACTTATATATTCTGCTAAGTCATGTGCAGTGAATAATAATTAGACATTCATCCCCTGAAATAGAACTGGAAAACCACTTCTGGCAAAACTCAAGCCTGGATGCACTCCAAAGCATATGGAGAGTAGTGAATCAACATGCAACATATAACTTGATTTTTGGTGAGTGAACTTTTTATTTAAAACACTTTTATGGTTAAAGAGTATGAAAGTGTTTCTTTGTTTAATTGTACAGAGAGCTTAATTCTAGAAAGTATTACATATAACCACAGTGTAATAATCTTCTCCAAATCAGTTGCTCACTCCATTTGTCTTACATGCCTGCAATAGAAAAGGACAGATGAAAAAAAGTAGGCCAGTCATGTTAGAAATCATTTTGTTCTCTGTTCAGGTTGATTTGTCTATCACAGGAGGCTCTTCAAGTAGGCTGACATGATGTCTGAGAGCATTAGCCCACACTGTGTTGGATGCCAGGAACAGGACACATTCACATCTTTAAAAGCAGACAGTGCATGCTTATGATTATGCCAGTGTCTTGAATTATTTTGTATCCTGAGTAACCAAAGAGAGGAAACAGAGCTGAGGTATCTTTTGAAATAAAATAATGACCAAGAGAGAAAATGGGATATCTCTCCTTAAAAGGTTAAGCAAAGCAGAAGGGATTAAAATCTTAGTGCAAAGAGATTATTTAGGAAATTTCTGCTATGTGGGGTTTAAAACTTGCTTATTCTTTGGCCTTTCAAAGACAGTCTCTTGTACATTACTGAAGTCCATGAGGCACCTTTAAAGAGTCTGTAAACTTGGTGGTCCAGAATCTATAAAGTCAAACTTCCACACATGCATGTGCTCTTTACATTGTTATTGTCATAAGCAATCATGCTGATTAGTCCTCAGCCTCACAATACAATTGGCAACTACAGCTATCAGAAAGAACTTCAGGGCAATGTCCCTTAAATTTGGGACACTAACTCTCCTTATCAAACAAAATCCCAGTGTTAATCAACTGTAAAATGCTATAAATACAATTAAATTATTTTTGTGGTCTTTAGTGGTGTTTAAAAGTTTGTCAGGTTTTAGGGTATTTTTGTTGTTTTGTTTACTATTATTACATGAATTGCAGTCTAAGCAATGGCAAAGCTTTGTACTTCAGAGTTACTATTCTTCATAGTGACAGGACTTCAACATTTATTCAGGGAGGCCCTAACACTAAGTTTTGGGCTGAGCCAAGATAGCTAAGAGTGTGCCTTGCCCCTTTTACATGAGCTGACACATGGCAGGACGTCTTTTTTAGGCTCAAAGATGATCAACTGATCATACCTATGGATTTTACATTCTGCACAAAAGCTAAAGTGTGTGTAAAGTAAGAGAAATTTGCCGTAGAATATCTGTTGCAGCCCAGCTCCTAACATCCTGCTCCCATTAGGACAGAAAAGCTGGAACAAGTATTAAGTTCTGCCTCACAGAATCTGATGTTCTGGCAGTTCATTTCACAACATAATGTTCAAGAAGTCTGGAGCACCAGCCAGCAAAAGCTGGATTCACTCAGTGATAACGTTCCACTGTGCAAACATCTCCATCTCCCCCCGTGTGCTACTTGAAATGCTGCACAGAAACACTGCACAAGTCTTTCCACCTCGCTCATAGCCCTCAGCCAGTTAAGTCTAACACTTACTCAGAGAGCATTGGCTTCTCTGGAGACAAATCTCGATAAAGCACTCAGCAATCCGTGTAGTTAAATCATGACTACATTTGTCATGTACCAACAGTCACATGCAGTGACAAGAAAAGCCAATATATTGATAGTTGCTGCCATTCCATGGATGCATCAAATATCAACATGCATTCACTAACACAGGAAAATATGTTTAATTTCACAAAGCCACTATTAGATCTCCTAAAACAAGTCTGTAGAATATGCAAAATCAACTCTCAGTATAAGAAAGTACAATCAGATTATTTTTTTAATCTGCAATAGAAACAAACATTTAACTTCTTTGGTTTTTCTAATAAATAATTCTGTGGTCTTCTTGTTTCTTAGCAGATTTTAAAATGACATATTTTGCTTGGAAGGCCTTAAATTAAATTTTGAGAAGAGTAGAGAAGACTGTTTTCAGATATTGCCATATGATGATAAGAAAGCGACTATCAAGGCAAAGGAGGCAAACCATTTGGAGACTCCTAATTTGAAAGGTAGTGTATAGATTATGAATTTGTTTTTATTTGTATTGAAGGCTTTATGCCATGGGAATCCAAATATTGTACAAGTGTCTACTTCAGTAAATAGATCTAAAGTAATCTTTTTCGATTTAAACCCAAGTGACCCAGAGTTGCAGATACATACCATAAAACAAATACTACAGAGGGTAAAATTGTATCTGTATGCTTCTCATAAAACATTACACCTCACTCCAGGTACTTCCAGAAAGAGAAGATTTCTCCTCGTCTGGAACTTTTCCAGACGAGGAGAAATTCATACATTCAAGATTTTAAAATGCACCAATCTAAGTTTAAAATTTTTTAATCCAATGATCGCTAAGTATATCAACAGATGACAAACACATAAGCAGCATATATAAGAAAAGTAAATATTATTTATCTCCTCCAACTCCACAAATGTTCACTTTAGTTACAATCTAGTTAAAATACAACCCAGCTGATAAGGGGAAACCCAGTGGATAGCCATCAAGCTACCACAACGTCATGACTGACTGACATTTCACCGCAGAACTTCCTACGGCACAACAGCCACAGTACTTCCAACCAAAACATCCTTACTCGGCTAACTGAAGTCATACAAACATGTACCTGCATATAGAAATACAAAAGCGTGCCTAGGAACATATAAGGAAATGCATGGAGCAGCAGAAGACAAATGCCCGACATTAATTTTTTAGAAGACACGCAAAAAAGGGCGAGAGTTGCTCCTGCAGGCGGTGGTCCCTGCGCTGGCAGGATGGATGGCTGCAGCACGATGAGAGGTGTAAAGCCGGGGCGCGGAGCACAGCACGGGGCACTGCCGCAGGTGTCGCTGCCCCGGGGAGCCGCGGGCCGCCCGCCGCGTAACAGGTCCTGAGGCGGCGGGACAGGCCCGATCCGACCGGCGGGCGGGCGGGAGAGGCACCGCGGCCCCGAGGCCGCCGCCACCTGCTGCCGTGCCCCGACAGCCGCCGGCCGTGCCCGGCGCCGCCGCCTCCCGCCGGCCGAGCGGCAGCGCGGCGCAGCCGAGCCCCGGCCGCCGCCGGGCGCCGGCGTGAGGGGAGCGGCGGCCGCGCCGGGCCGGGCCGGGGGAGGCGGCGAGAGCCCTGCGGGGGGCGCCCGCTCCGGAGGGAACTTCGCGGGGAGGGACGGGCGCCGGCAGCGGCCCCCGGCCGGCCTACCTGCGCGGAGTGGGGCTTCCTCAGCCAGGCCCCCGGGAAGAGCCGCCTCGCCATGGCAATCACACATCCCCGCAGCGGGCGGCGGTCGGAGGCGGAGCGGTGAGGATCGCTCCCCCGCCTGCCGCTGCAGCCGCTCCGCTCCGCTCGGCTCGGCGGGGAAGAGCTGCCCCGGGCACCGCGGCTGTCAGCGGGCAGGGCGGGCGGGCGGCTGCCGCCTCAGCTTGCGCTCACACCGCCGCTTGCAGGGGCGAACGCAGCAGCTGAGGGAGCGAGGCGGGGCTGAGACGGCGAGCCGAGCCCCGCCCGCCAGAGCCCCTGGGGCTGTCCCGGTTCCTTTCCCCCCGCCAGGGCCGCCCGGAGCCCGCGGAGCCGACAGCCACCCCGAGTTCGTGTCTGCCAGAAAGTGCTCGGGGTGCTGACTGGGGACAATTATGGAGAAGTCAGTTAATAAGTAACGCGTGTCGTTGATTGCGAACAGGCTCCTGTCATTTACTGGGCAGGGTATTAAAAACAGCAGCAGGCTCCTTACAATCTTAAAAACACCCCAAAAACAAAACAAAACAAAAAAAACCACAAAACCCCAAAAAGGAATAGTTCCTCTAATAAGGAAGGAGCGTTTGTCTGGACCCATATTAACAGAGATGCGCAAATTTTTTGCCGTGAGGTTGGTGACAACAACCTGAATAGGTTGCCCAGAGAAGCTGTGGGCGCCCCAGTTGAAGGCCAGGTTGGACAAGGCTTCGAGTAACCTGGTCTATTGGGAGTTGTTCCTGCTCATGGCAAGAGAGTTGGGGAAAGATGATCTTTAAGGTTCCTTCTAACCCTATCCATTCTGTAATTCTACATTAGTGCCATAGAGTGGGAAAAAGTTACCTATTTCTTCTTTATCAGGGGATCTCTCACCCCTTCCTGTATTGTGGGAAGCCCCAGCCCAAATGAAATTCTTGGGAACACTATAAAGTTCAAGTAAAATCATCCTTTCTTACACAAGGTTTGGTTTTTGTCCAACCCTCTTGTGTTTATGACATGACTGTGACATTTTTTAATGCAGTGTGTTAACAGAGTCAAAGCCAGAAGCTGGGCATCTCCAGTCCTGATGCTTTTTGTCCATGAGACTTCAGGCACAAAGATTATGCCAAGGGGTTGGGATAAAAACAAGACAAACATAGTACCTGATGGCTTTGGGTGTTCAATGCACTTACCTAAGAACTCTGCTTTGATGAAAAGATGAGTCACAAAACACTAGTGTAAGGATAAGCTGCCACTTTTTGGCAGGACTTACTCTTAAGGAAAGATGTGTATATGGAAATCAGATATTAGGAGCTCACAAAGAATTTAGAGATTTGTGCTTGAAGATTCAAGAACAGTCTGTGACTGTTCTTTGAATAATATGATCACTGCCAGAATCACCCTGCAGTATAAATCTGAAAATTAATTAGTAAGATTTGGCACTCCTGTAAAAGCAATCCTGGCTTTAGTAACAGCCAGTGATTCTCATAGGGTTTTCTTCTCTTCCTATTCAGCAGGCCCAGATGGCTGCACTTTCTGCATCACCTCCCTCTATAGTTCAGTGGTTTGCACAAGTTTAGATGGGTCATGGGCGTGCAACGGAACAGCAACACAAGAGGAAGCCACAGAGCAAAACATTATAACATTTTGCTGAATAACCTCAAGCCCTTACTTCATCCAGTCCTCTATGCCAAGCCTTGGAATGACAGGCTGGGAGTAATTGTGAAATGTCGGTTCCATATGGCTGGCAGTGATCTAAATGTTTCATTCCTGTTACATCTAGATCCAAACAGTTACTGGCATATGTTCATTAGGGGATACATTTTTCACTTAGTACATAAGATCTTCATCATCTGTGAGAGCAGGTGCCTTATTCCAGCACTGAAATGTTGAGTTCTCCTTCAAATACTCTTTGTGCCCAGGCTCTGCTAAATGCTGAAAAATAATTTCAGCATCTTTCAGTTACCTGTTAAATTCCCAGTTAAGCCTCAGTAGAGAACTCCCATGAAAAGCTAGGCTACATAAGCCAGAACAGTAACAGAAATTGTGTAACATGCACTGAATTGATATTCACAGGATGTAGAAACTCAAAGGAATATTCTAGACTGGGGGGCAGATGCAGATAAACCACACAGGTAGAACATAAGTCATATTGATGTATTATTTACTGTACAGCCTTTCCATCCACACATTTCCATTCTGTGGTTCACACATCATCCATTTTTGTAGGCCCACACCAAAGCTTTGGTATATCTTAATGTCCAAGCAGTAGAAGTTATGCTGATTTATTGCTACCTATTAATTCTTTAGTTTCCTATCCATCTATAACATCACTAAATGTTGTTATGCTTGTGTTGCAAGGTTTTTATATAAGATAGAAATCGACTGCTAGTTGTACAACATAGTGTTTTTCACTCACAATGTCAAAAGGTAAATGTAGTTTTATAATACCTTCTTACATTCACCTGCAGTTCCATGACAATTTGGAGCTTATTAAACATTAAGCATAACTCAGAAAAACCAACAAATGTTTGCAAAGACTGAAGCATCTGGGTATGGTAGACATACAAGTAATGAATATATGAGACAAATGAAAATACTGAAAAGCTACAGAGAAGAATGTGAATTCTTCAAGATAGTGTAATGTGCACCTTTAAAGCATAATAAATAATTTTATCCAATTTCTTTTGAAGTCAAGTCTCTGTAACTTGAGCAAGTAATACAGGTTTTAATATCACGTGAAAGCTAAACATTAACTTATTGCAGTGGTGCTGGACCTGCTTCTTTCAGTTATTTGAAGCAGCTGCACCCACATACTGATTTAACTCAAATGCTGTCATAAGAGACTCCATAGGAAATCCTCAGGGTTCGCCCACTCTCCCCACCATCATATTATATGCAGGGAGCCTTTGGCTAATGTTAGTAATCACAGGACTTCACTTTCTCACTGCAGCTTTACCAGCTTCCAATCTGCCTAGCACAGCTGCCTAGATAAATGCTCCTTTGCTCTGGATATGCCCAAGAAATAGTCTATGATCCTGAGCAGCTACCACAGTCTTTAAGTATTACAGCACCCATTACAGCTAGGGCACCATGTGATGCCCTAGCATTTGCCATTGCCCAAGTTTGTAGCTACATTCAGTAAGTGTATGTACACAGTATGTAATATGGTAATGATTTAAAAGAAAATAACCCACATTTCCTAAAATAACGTCTAGAAAAATTTCGAGATTTCTATCTTTTTGTGTTACTCAGCTATCTACTTGTTCACATATCTGTCTAGGAGTCTGTTTTTATACAGACTCTACTTTCTTAGGCCTGTCTTTGTGGATGAGAATGAAGACCTGGGGACCCATCCAATGTTTATTTCTACACTTCCCCTCATGTTCCCTTCAGAAAGAGATACTGCTTCTTTCCCCTTTGCAAACTTCTGTGAACTCTGACTAAATTAGTGTGTTAGCTTTAATATTATCCTAATAGATTATTTCCTATTCAGATTCTTACAAATGCTAATGCTTTTATTGCATGAGTAGGTGGAGCCATCTCTTACCCAGAAAGCAGACACAACCTGTTAAGGATTCCCATGTGGCTTAACTTGGTATAAACAAATCATTAATCTATTTGAGGAAACAGACTCTTCCAGCCAACAGGTTTCATTTCTAAGGCTCTATTTATATGGTCACTTTAATCTCACATAAATCCACCCTGCTGCTGAAGCAGATGGTGTCACCTTCTCTTGCTGTTGGTGCCTACCTTCTCCCTTGGGTTGGCACAAACATTTCTGTTGTTTCATAAAGAACTAGATCAATGATCTGAACTAAAAGCGAATCTTGACTCTTTTTTCCTCTGAGATTCCAATTCCTTTCATCAGTGGTTTGGACTTACATGGGAACAGAAGAGTTGTTTGTAACCACCAAAACCTTTATCTTATTTAAACACATATCCTTGTAAAAGATCACTTTTTACCATCAGATAAATTATATAAATGTATGTGACTCATTTGTAGCTCTTGACTGAAATTAGATACAACCACTATTATTAAACATTCAGAGATACTGATTAATTTGACAGACAAGTCTTTGCTTCGAGAGACACGATGTTTAATCTTTTATTCTGGTATATTTCTTAAAATTCAAAATGTACTAAAAACATTACAGTAAATGGATTTCAAGAACATAACCTATCTGGAGTAAATAGGTCTCCAAAAATCCAGAATAGAAAGCTTTACATGTTACAATCCTGTGTACATTAGAGGACTAAGAAAACTCCAGAAATACTGTGCTCGGAAGAAAAGATTTGAAAGTAGTCAATTGTAAGCAAATACTAAACAATAGTTTGCATTTATGTTTACATTGTTTCAAAGCCTACAAAGACAACACAGTTCAGATTTAACAGATTTAATCAACCAATAAAATTTTGTTTCCTTCGTACATATCTGTGCTTTCAAGTCTACTTCCTCTATTAATTGCTGGAGTTATGAGGTTCAGGAGTTTTACCCAAGATTAATTGAGGTTACATGTTAAAATGCATGGTCAGAGTACACCTGCTAGCATTAATCTATTTCTGGTTTGGAAAGCCTTTTATCATTTTCAGATAACTTATTTTCGACATAATTATTTTACTTAATTATCCAAGCTGTTTCCTTCTTTGAACGAAAAGATATAAAAATAACTTTTAAAATAAATAAGCAAAATAAAGTTATAATCCACTCTGAACTTCTGTTCACACTACTTGAAGAAAAATACTTCTTTGTTCTGTTATTTTATGCTTGTGGTAGTCATCTGGTAAAAAACACAAACCTTTTATAATAGAAATGTTAGTCTTAATTCCTATTGATGTTTTTTCCAATAAATAGCCTAGTTGGCATTTTCTTCATGCTGCACTCCCATTTCCCAAGGTTTCTTCCCCTGAATTAACACTTGCACCTTCCTGCTTACTTTATAAGGTAGCTCAGAGAGCTAGGAAATATCCAAGTCCTAGCCCTCACTCTTCTAAAAATCCTCTTTGGTTCTAAATAGTAGATTCCAGTCCTGAAGCTGGTACAAACTGATAGGAAAAGGT